TGTCGGTTAAACTTTGGCATGACATGCAAGACTGACGATAAGTTTAAGCGTGTGAACGGGGCTCAAAAAGCAACGCCAGAGACGCAAGTCCACCAGCTTTGTACATTCTGACAGTATCTAAAACACGGGTTATCATGTATGCCAATTAAACCACAGCCTGCAAAAGCTGCGGTTTCTGCGCAGTCTTCTCAGCAGTGCACACGGTAATTAACAATCGTAAATACTGCCGCAATCATTTTAACAAATAGACCTAGGCCGAACTGTATCTTCCGGCTGTCGGAACGGTATTTTGTAAATTATTGACTGGTTTTGGTCGGCAATATCCCTTTCACGATACTTTAAAACTTGACTAGATGAAATTCTGCGCTCTATTACATCGACCATTCAACTTATTTTTCACGTTAAAGTACACTTCTGGGCACAGAATGGAGTAATTTGGATATCAACGTGTTGTGAAAGAAAGTTGACGAGCGATATGAAGAGCTAAAAAAACCTATAAAACAGCAATAATGCTACCCTACCGACGTTTAGGCATTTTCCAAGGAACTGATCTCAGAGTTTTAATTCTGATTGATATGTGTTGAATTCGATGAATTTTTAACTTTAATATCACTTTAAAATCATGAATTAATGGGAAGTTTATGAAATGTGGTATTTGCACGACTTGTACAACAGTCGATCTAAGCATTTGGGCTCGCTCGCTCGAGAAGTAATGAAGCGACGCCCTTGCTGAAACAATCGGTAGTTGCAATGAGTAAATGTTATGGCCTTGAATTCATTTTCAGCTCGAGGTGGTTGTCATGTGCATTTATTTACCTAAAATTTTTTTCATACATGTCAGCCAAATCCTTTCCTAAGCCTATTTCATTGACGATGGTTTCAGAACCCGGGACCTCACTATAAAGAATAATTGAAAATTCGTGGCTCCGGCAGCCCATCCTGCAGAGCCATGCGAAGTAATTTTATTCGTCGTCTGGGTGTGGGCTAACTGTTATCGCGCTTCCGGCCAAAGAAAGATAGTTCTCAATCTTTCGTCGATGTGCATGCAGACTGAAAAACTTTCACTTGAAACTTCGTCCTCTGATGTCGAACTAGCGCTACGAGGGAGCGCAGTCAACGTTGAGCTAAATTTTTCTGCAGGGAAAATTTGGGCGACATTCGTTAACTTATCTGTCACTGCGCACTGCGCCGCTGTCTCACACTGTTTGAAGAACTAATGCACGTCGCATTTACTTTTCTTCGACCCATTTTACAATATTCTTGCCCTTGCAATACTTGCACCTTTGTGTCAGTCAAACGTGAAGATCGTCCTACATGGTACGTAACCTAACTAAGGCTGTGTCACAGAGGCTTCAGTAGTGTCATGAAGGCCGGCGTTTCCATAGTTTTCGACTGGAAATCTCTTCAACTAAAGACTAGCATATAGATATTTCTGTCCGAGACATGTCAAGTTGTTGAAAGTTACGATCAAAACTCATGCCTCAACATTCAAATCTGGACACTAGCGAGTTGGCGAAGCCTTCAAGCATTTTAACAATAGAAAGATTAGCCCTGCAGCTTCGAAAAGAAATGAAGTGTGAAAACGCCAATCCTTTGTTGACAACTCCAATCCCATTTAGATCACGTAAAGTTTTTACTTGGTAAATTTAGATTCCATCACGCTTGATTGTAAATTAAACGTGCGTCAGTAAATGGGTCTACTTGATACATGGCATTGCATAAATTTACCTATATTATTGGATGTAGACCCAATGAAGACTAAACTGACTGCGTAGCTCTGAAGCAAAGTGTAGCTGCGCATGTTAATTTATGCTGAGCGTTGGCTAAAGGGCTAGTCCTAGAGTTAAATGTGTGACCAACGGCTGGGTTTCCAGATGTTCGACTAATTAGCATCTCTTTCTAAAAGTGGAGGCTACTGTACTGAAATGAGCGTAATATGCGTTTGTAATGCGGAAATGAATATTAAATGCATCGGCAATTATCAATTTTATCAACCTAATTATTCCGTAAATTCGCCTCAAAAAGAAATCGTCTTCAATTATTGACTATCCGATTACGAAAACTATCTAGTTTAATATTTTCAGGCTTGCGTGAAGCACCTAAATTTAGAACTACGTTAAAAGTTTGACCACCTCGATATGTTAGGAAAGTATACACTTTGCTGGGTTCAACTCCAACTGCCAGCGAGTGCACCACCCACCAATCTCGTCAAGATACCTCTGCATGGGGCCACGTGCTTCAATTAAGAACGGCCCATTTACAAAAAGTGTTAAATAATCAGCATATCCAACCAGCTTCACATGTGGAATATCGTGCAGCATCACATTGAAGAGCGCAGCACCTTGTGGTACGCGAACTCTCACAGGCTTTGAAGTTGATTGTGTCATGCGTGGCACGCGATTGTAGGTATAATTTTACTGATTTATTAGAATAAATTGTTTTAGATTATTAGTTTAAACAGAAAATAAATGTAGTTATCAACTGAGCAGCAATCCCCAGTGCATGGATGTGTGTATCTACATGACATAGATTAAGGCGGTTTTTTAATTTTATCCGAAATTCACCGCGAAAACATGCAATTCACTGCAAATTGTCTTTTTTCTTCTTCAGTTGTAGTTGACATCGGATATTTGCGATATTCAGTTGATTTTCTGAGAACATTCTTACGTTTCTGGGCTGTCTGACCAGCCGTTAAATGCTGTCAAACTGTTCAGGTAATGTACATTAAGCTTGAAATCACTATAACGGCACTCGGATCTTAATTCAAGTTATCCCGGTAATTAAACTTTCCTCAGTTCGTCACAACCACTGCAACCTGCGGCCGACCGCCAAATCTTCAAACAACGCTTGTCCACTACCATTTCAACAACGCCTCTGAAATTTGGCATGACATATTATGGATCTAAGCTCTAGCTGCATTAAATGTCGAGTTCTTCTAAGTAAACATTCGGCTGACTGAGGTGCGGCACGTGCCTAATATTAGACCAAATAAAGACCACAGATGGAAATTGCCGTAAACCTGTCGAATTTTTTAAGCACGGTCTGTCACCCACTGGCCACATTTTCAATCGCCTTGCACGCCTATACATCGCCGACGACACAACCATGATTTTTGGCGGGCGACACAACGGTGATTTTTGGCGGGCGACACAACCGTTATTTTTGCACGTGTATGAGCAGGACTCACGCTATGTCGGCGATGGATGTCCTCCAGCATGTTGCGCACTAGTATCTCGGGGGAATCACATCGTCCATAGTCTCCCCACCTTCCCGCCCCAACGTCGCCTTCTTTTGGGGGTCCTGTATATAAGAAACGAATAAAATGCCAACCGAAATCTTTGGCAATATCTAAATCAATCCTGCAGGTTACATACAGATGTATTAAAACATTTTCATCCGTTTTAACTTATAAAAGACATGTTATGTAAGTTATCTGGATGAGGTTAATAAAAAACTGTCGTCATATATGTTATAAACTTGAATTCTCCCTTGATCACAGCTTTGTAAATCATGAGCTTAATTCGTTTAAATATGCCGTTAACGAATAGTATTGTTCGATACTTTGATTAGGCTTTATGTTTCCTTTTCTCATTGTTGATAAGATTTCGTTGCACAACTGACCGCTATTGGCCTCACAACAAATAATCGCCCCACAGTCCGTGCTGGATCCTTCCTTGTACTCAGGGTCATAGTGCAGGTCTGCGAGATGCAGAAATTTCAGGTACGGCTTCCCGCCGTTGATAAAGTCTGCGGATTTTCCTCTCCGATGTTCTGCTGGTATTGCCGAAGAAACTTTTGGAGCCTGGACAACAGAAAATGTCGGAAATCACTTTGTTTTAAAGGTGATCGCTACAATTTTATTCAAGAATATATATATATATATATATTTGTTTATTAGCATTCTAAAGTATAGCAGTAATTAAAGCTATAATTTCAGTTTCAAAATGCAATCCAAAACTTCTTCACAATTCATTAATTGCATTAAATTACCTGGCGCCACTCATGGCGATATTGGTATATGTACAGGGTCCGCCATATTTATGGCAAGGCATGTTTTTTGTTATTTCTCAATGAAACAAACAGGTGCATTGTTTTTTTATTGGATGAGCTAGTAACCAATAATTACCTAAACAATTCTCAGACATATTTATTCAATATGATCACCCTTATTTTTAATGGCGGCCTCCGATCTACGCGGGAAAGCTTCACAGGAGACACGCAGCGTTTCTTGAGGGATCAAGTCCCATTCTCGTGTCAATTTAGACTTCAAACTATCCAAAGAATCATGAGGTGTTCTGCAGACCCTACTCTCTAAAATATCACCTCTGGTAACAACTAACATGTTGACACTAGTAACAGGCTGAGGTTGACAACATTACACCGAAATCTTTCGTACAGTTTTATTCTGTAATATATATTTTGTGTGTATCATGCTGGTTTTGAAATAATATTTAATACTATTAGGTAAAATCTAAAAGCTTTGTCTATAAATGAAGCGGTTATGCACCTATCATTAACGTTATGACGTAGCGCTGTAGCGGAAAAACCTCGTATCGCTACTTAAATATGTAGCGGGCGCTACCGCTACCGCTAAAATTGCTTAAATGTTGCGCCGCTACCGCGACTGAAAATGTAGCGCGCTACTGCCCACCTCTGGTTATAGGTATATTATGAAAATAATTTAGACATAATTGCATACCGGCATTCAATTTATTCATACTCGATAGCGCGGGATGTGTCCACCTTCAAATTTGAATTGGTAGTTGAATTTTATTTGCATTGGTCCCTAATAGATAAGTGCATTCAAATATGCCAACTTTTACATTATAAAATAACGAAAAAACTAGAAATATGTATTTAAATTTTATCCTTCTGACTCATGAAAAGTATTTGTAGTTCAATATACATTCTCTACGTTTAATTGTTGCTAAAGCTAAAAATGTCCATAAGGTTGGTTCCATTAAGTTCGCTTAAAACCTTAACCCAAATACTTCAAGGAACTAATTTAAATTTACCTCATCTTTGAGCTGACCCGAGGATCCAGTAGGAATAGGACCAGGAATATTAACGCTCCAATCCTTGTCCTGGAATTGAAGTCCACAGGGCGGAGTGGGGAAGTAGCTGGAGGTGAAGATGAGTGCACACAACTGAACGTGATTGACATGACCACGACGTACGACGTACTCCATCACGTCCTGTGTATATAACGTCGAGTATGGCAATCGTACATATTTCCATTAGCTTTAGGTATAAGGCTGACACCAATATCAATTTGGTTATTTACTGCATTTATTTGATGATTCTAATCAAGTATACATTTGATAGCCATATGAATTTTATTTATAACCCTATTCATTTTTTTGCATTATGGTTCTTATCAAAACCTTACTTCATAGCCCATGTAAAGCGCACACACTTGTAAGTCCATATTCCGCTCACACATAATAGCCCAGATCAAACATTTTCTTTGTAGCCCTTATTCAGCATTTACTTTGAGGTTCTTACTAAACACTTACATGAAAGCAATATCGAGCATTTTCCGAACTTGAAGTGCAATCAATCAGTAAAATCGAAATTCTTGGAGCAAATTGTCGAACCTATATAGGCTAATAAAAGAATTTGCAGCGGTAGGTAAACAGAACAGAGGTCGACAAACTTGGATATTTAAAACTTAAATTGGAAAGTAATTAAGGAAATCATTAAAATTCGTACCTGCATTAGTATGTAATTCCGTATTAATAATCTTAATTAGCGGAAAGTTCATATTAATTATTATCGCATTATGACTAACATTATTTAGTCAGTCACCTTCTCATTCTTTATGAGCCCCGAACAGACGCCAGGCTGTCTGAAGAGCAGCTTCTGGCAGATGGCAATGAGGCTCTTGTAGAAGAGTGCGGTGTCTGTGGTGCTGCGGAGGAACTGGAACAGCGCCTTGGCCAGCACCTGGCAAGACAGGCACGCAGGCTTCGCGCCTGGGAACAGTTGCTTGCCTGCGCCTGGCACCCAAGACGATGTCATCGTATCTTTCATTACACCAACTACCTGGAGGTATACATATTGTTGCCGGTGACCTTGTTTACTTTAAGCATGGATGATTATGGTCTTCATTAATGGTTGATTATCAGATGGCAAGATTTTTTTCTTTGATTGTACGAAAGGGGGAAAATATTTCTAGGAATGTCGCTCTCAATATATACAATAATTTTCTGTATCTCAGCTAATAAGTATTCGTTCGATATTAATTCTTAGTTTATTATAAAATATCCAACATAATATAATGGTTATGAACGAAGGTTTCAAGATAATAAGTATTTGAAAAAGAATAAAGGCTTCAGTTCAAGTGAACTCTTGGAGTGGTGAGAGTTTGTGAATGTTGTCACAAACTTCCTCCTATTTTAAATAACTTTTTAAGACGACATAGCGCATACATTTCGCAAAAAATTAACGAAGGCTTAATTTAAGTAATTATTTCAATGCCCTGAAAATCAAGCACCAATAAATAAAATGAGAAAAATTGCATTCTTTGATTTACGTCGCTGATTATATGATAGGATTCTGTTACCTAAATAATGAGATGCAAACAAACCCAGCGGGACTAACACTTTTCAGTTTGAGGGCACAATATAGCTCTCGGCTTGAATGTTGTGCGCACGACTGTACCGCGTCTCGTTGGAGAGACGTTGGTAAAACTTGGTATGCAGTTGCTTCGTTGACATGAACACGTCATATTATATTGGCTATTGACAGCTGTCAATACTCTTGCGGCACGTGTGAAAACAGGTGTAAAATAAGCTCACGTTTTGAAAATGGTGCGCGAGACTGGACCGCGTCTCGTTGGAGTACAGTTGCAATGTTGACAAAAACTCAACTTCCCTCGCCGGCCCGCTCGTCTTCTCCGCTCGCCCAAGTGTCACTGAAATGGCGAAAAATGACAGTCGTCACAAAAGTCTTATTTGTTATGGCTAAACGAAGATATGCGATGATAGTGTCAATGCTAATCGAATGAGTTGTGTTGAGAATGCATTCTTCGATTTATTTGCATATGAATGATAAATTCTTTTCAGGTACAATTGAACCGAAGGTAAAGATCGGCATGTTCTCAACAAGGACTTTGCTAGAGTTTCCAATTGTGTCGTATCTTTTATATGGAGGTTAATAATTGCTTGTATTTTGTACGTATTAAGCGATGTATCTTGAATAGAAATTTTGCAAGTTAACCTTACTTCATTAGCATTAATGACTCGTGTTGTATCTGAATACCGCCTTGAAATTCTTCTCGGAATCAATAGAATTTCTAATTTCAATTATTTTAATGCATATGAATCTATAAAATGTCGCTGTGGCTTTGAATGATTACTTCCATTTTTAGCTTCCTTAAGTAAAAAGTTCAATTGCTGTCGTTTTTGTAGACAAGAAAAAAGTCGGCCAGTTCCCGACTGCAAATCTTAGTGACCGAAGGTCAGTTAGGGCCGCGTTTGAGCCAATTTGGCTCGGCGAGGAATGAGGCAAAAATTGTGGTAGCCTCATTCAATGATAATATATTGACACTGATCGATTAGATTAGAGTGTGGAATGATTAAAGAAACCACAAATAATCATTCTCTATGTTTTAAAATGTTAATATCGTAATCGATTATGTAATTGATTGCAGTTTCATGTCTTGAATGCAGACTTCCATCACGTCTGAACTTGATAATTTATAGAAAACAATTGGAAAGTATACGCTAGGAAAGAAACGTTAGTATTTGCCAATACATTATTTGCACCAGCTTATAGAAGCGTTAAATTAGAATAGATATAAGGATTCAATAATAACCTAATAACTAATAATAACTATACTTCAAGGTCGAGTAACGGAGTTACTCGACTTCGTTACCTTGGAGTATAGATCAACATAAATTGAACTCATTCCTTGAAGGAAACAAGTAAACTGAGCGTCCTTTTTTTGCTGAACATTTTTGCTTGCCGTCAAACACGATTTATTGAGTATTTATAAGGCCAACTTGTATCTGATTGTATCCTCCGCAATTGCATCGCATGCGTTCTTTATGTTTCCAACTTCTCGTTTTGGGGATTTTTTATATCTTCATGGCTTCTTTTCATACACAAATACCGCCACTGAATATCTTAATTTCTCTCTCAGAATGCAATCGTTTAAACACTATATATACTGTATATTAAATTGTTGAACATTTCTTCAGGGTTATGTCATATTTAAACTACTTATTTGTTATATTAAGCCTAATTAGCCCCAAAATTGCATTTAATGATAACTTATTGTACTTAAATGACAAGTTTTCTCTTGTACAGTGTTAAAAAAATGTCGCACTTGTCTCATTTATTGCGATTTTTTTCCTAATTTTATGAGAATAATGTTCAATGAAGGTCGTGTATAATTAATAATAATAATAATAACCAACATTAAACAACTTTATCGGTTATGCAATCGGTTTCAGGTTTTCTTAGCTCTACGATTGCTTTAGACTACCATGAACACAATGAAATAAATTAAGTGAATGTTAAATGGCTCGAATTATATATCAAAACGAAGAAATATTTTTTAAAGACTATCAATAATGTAAACATTCCTAATATAATAAAGATTGAGATCACTCAATCATCAAATTTGAAAGCGCTTCCGACGTGACTTTAATAAAGACGAGATTCTAGCACACATCTTAATTCCATATAACAAACAAAAACATTCCACCAATAATTTAAGTGAGACAATTCAAAATACTTAAGGGAGCTAAACTGAGTACTCACCTAAGTGCGTGAGATGTTTCATGTGCCGGCATTTTATTGTCTTCTAGCACGCGCGTTTGATTAATCCTTATTAATGAATCCAGTTAGAAACTTATAAATTATGAAATATTAAATTTATATGATTATTACTTAAATATTAATATTCTTCCACTGCGAATGAAAGAATTTCGCCGATTATTGCTGATTTATTTGAGCGTCTTCTTGTACCTTTTTTTATTCCTAACATCAAGGCATTCAATTTGTGCGCGCAACACGTTTTAATTTTTTTATCTGTGACTTTAATGAAGTTTGTGAGGCACAAATAAATGTTCGCTGTTGGTAATAAAAAGAAAATGAACATGAAGTATAATCGTGGCATTGGACTGTTGACGGATGCCCATAATCATACTCGAGTACAATTGACTCCAGCTCAGTCACGTGCTCAATTATATTATATTCGTTCTCATTACATTTCCCTACCCGCATGCACATATGACACGCTCACCAAGTGGAGTTCTCTTATAACCAATTAAACTGGAAAGCAACAGGAGCGACATTTTCTTTGAGCGAAAACATATTTCAGGAGCGAAAACATATTTCAGGAGCGAAAACATGTTTCTTGTCATCAACCTATAATGGCATCGATTTCTCTTTCTTTTGACAGTCACATTGACATTTCCTCTAAAAAGCTGTTAAAATATTGAGCAATAACTTCTTTGAGTAACATCGCAGCAGCTTAATGTTGGAGTTAAATGCTGCATTGTTTTTACATTAAACGGAAGCAGCTCCATGGCTGTTGTTTGTCGTATTCTTTATATACACGTGCTTGAGTGGAGGTCATTTTTTAGTTAAGGTTGATACGAGTTGGTCAACTCGAGCCATGATTGAGTAGCAAAAGACATGAGGAGGCCGCCGCTAAATATTTAGAAAATGTGTCCGTCAACTGTCACTTGTACAAACAAAGGAAACATGCAGAGAAGGTATTTGTTGCAGGGTAATGTATTGATGATGGTGCTTCATAAATTCATATATTTGATTAGAATTTCTTGAAACAAGAGTGTGTTGTGTTATTAACTAAATTAATCAAGCTGCCTCCCACATCAAAGTATTTTGGTGTATAAAACATCAGTAAACAAATTGTTATGACCTAATTATTAAAGTACTCGAGTTAAACGCTAACCGTTGATACCAGGGATAAGTATCGGCCACAAAACACTCGGGCCCCTATCAATTAAATGCTGATGGATTCCCTAAAGTACTCGCATACTGAGTTTACACTTTGTTTTGGGGAATTTTAATATAATGTCATAGCTTGTTAACTTAGATTACTTTAGGATGAGTGCGGTTTATCATTTAAAGTTGAAAAACTTGAAAATTTTAAAATTTAATTGGTCAAGCGGATTACATTTGAAGTTGTGTAAAATCGGCCGCATCGCAAACACCAAAATAATTTAAATCTTCACATAATTTAAAAAATCGGCCCTTCTAGCGATACTAATTTTTAATAATATTTTTCTAATATTTATCCGCACTCGCTCTGATTTACTTCCGATTTTCCTCTTCATAATTTCAATATTCATGAACGTTGTAGAATTCCTAATACTCTTTCTCTCAATATCAACCTTAATAATTAATTGTATATTATAGCTAACGTAATGCAACGTATAAACCATTAAAAGGTGTTATTGAATTATAAGTAATAATCAACGCGAAGATCTGTTGCGCCCGAATCGCCGTGCACGAGTAGCGGGAAACTTCTTCCTATGAAGGGTGGGTACCGACTGACGTTCGGCTTCTCGAGGGCTGAGGACTCCTGAAGGTTGTCAGGGGAAAAACGTGTAAAGGGCTTCCTGACTCAACAGATTCTACAAAACATTAAAGCTACTGAAGGTTGCTGGCTTCTAGTCTATGCTGCTGCTAGTTTACTTTTTTCCCCGTTTATCCTTGTACTATTTACGCTTATGAAGTTGTTAGGCCATGCATAATGAGATTTTGATTAAGATAACAAAGAAAATGCATTCTCTGCGGAATGCACTTTACCATGCCTAAAAACTTGTTTTGCGTTAGCTTCAATACTGTGGCGGCATTAAATGTTAATATGTTAGGATTAGCAAATTTTTATGTTTGTCTATCTGAAACAAATCTCTCCGAAGGCATTGACTGCAACTGAAATTATATATTTTCAGTCAATATGGCACAATAGCACGTGTCGTGAACCAAACGATGAAAATCCATAACAAACGTAAGTTGATTTAAATATAAATATTTTCACTTTGTACCTATTAAATTGGAGTGATTCATCGTGTCCTTATTGATTAAACCGAATGTTTTTGAATGTTTTAAGTATTTCTAGGATATCGTATTCTGACTTACGTGCCACCGTATTTTTCGTTTATTCAATATTTCAGTTGCTGCTGAGACTGGTCTACATTAATTGATGTATACTCTTTAATCAGTTGCGGTAAGGCACAGTCATGTCGGCAGTAAACTGGAAAATCTGGAGAAAAAACTCCGAGACAATTCTGACCAAAAATCGTCTAAAGAGCGATGGCAATAATATAGTATTATAGTAGAAGGCGATGCTAGTCTTGAGAAAGATAGACGTATGTCTCGAGTTAAGTGTGTGAGTGATTGATTTACGAATTTGTAAACCTAAATATCAATTGACCGGTCAGGATATCCAAAAAAGGAACTCGAGTCTTAAATACATGAACTGTAAGTACCGCTATATTTGTACCGTTTTAAATTATTCATATATTAAAATTAACTTATAATCGTAATTGAAAAAAAAGTTTGTGGTCGAGGTAGAGGCCGTCCGCGCCGTCTATCATGCAGCACCATCTAGTTAGCAGCACTTGAATGTGCATCATCAAGGTGCCTGTTAGAGGCAAGCATTGCCCAATACCCTCATCACTTTCATATTCCTCATATATCATTCACAACTTCCTAGCATGCTACTGGGTATAGTAGCCTATCAGGTCAAGTGCTTAGAGCCTCAAGCACCGTAAGCCCATGCACAGCCACTGCTGTAGCCAGTACAGGGTCCTCCATATTTATGGCAACGCATGTTTTTTGTTATTTCTCAATGAAACAAACAAGTGCATTGTTTTTTTATTGGATGAGCTAGAAGCCAAGAATTACCTAAACAATTCTCAGA